ATGCTCAGCCTGAGGGCCATATACCTTTGCACTTTCACCATTTGTTTTTAATATTTGTACAGTAGAGGTTTAAAAAGTAAAAAAAACCCAAAAAACAAATAAAGCGAATAAAACCAAAAAAACCCCAAATTCTAATCTCTCTCTTTCTCTGCAGGTTGTAGCTTTTTGAGACTTTACTAGCAACTCTGATACCTACTCAGCAGAACACTTAAAGTACATGATTAACTTTAAGCATATAAAGCCCCTGACTTGAACCTTACAGGATTCAGGGGTTATTTATTCAGTAACAAAAATCTCTGTTAGTGCAGAGTTAAGGTTACCCAGTAGAATCCTCTGAAAACTCAGTCAAATAAAAGCCAGAACACCTAGGCCAGGAGTAGACATTACACTTTTACCGGTATAAGTGATCAGAAACTGGTCTACACCCGTAACAGAACACAAGTCTGGCACACAGAGACTGATTTAAAAATGGTGGAACCAAGTCTAAGATTTGCCTCTCCCCACCCACCACCAAAGGGTAAATGTGTGTTCTCTTTGCTACTGATCTAAACTATGCTGCTTACAGAAAACTACATAACTTAGATGGATTCTACCTTGGGCTTTCTGAATGTCTGTACCTAGCCCTAGTGTCAGGTACCACCAATTCAATCTTAACTCTGATTTTCTGGAGCTGAAAAAAAACACTGAAGTTTATTTGCATCAATGCAGCTATACTCATTCCGTCAGGTATAACGGTCTTGAATTATGGAGGAATTACTTTGAACAGCTTGACAGAGTTGTAAATGTAATATGACAAGATTTGAGGGAGCATATGCCTACCCCCTTAACTGTCACCACGTGTAAGAAAGAGGAAAGCAGTGTGTATGTATTAGGGAGAGTCAGTATGCCTTGCTTCTACAATCAGTGAACATTTCAGTAACAATGCACAAGGTTATTAACCCCAAGACTGTCTGAAGCCAGACAGGATATGAGAATGGTCTATGAGCTGAATGATGGATACATTAAAGTTTAATGTAAACAGTGGGTACACTGGACATCACTCAGAGTTAGGATGTTAGGCCAGAGTTAAGGTTGCATAGGTATACACAACTGACTCTGAATTTTTTTATTTTCATGAGATTAAAGTTGTTTTACCTTTATGCTCCCTTCCCAAATCCTGAACATCCTGGGAGAGTAAGAAGAGTGGGTCAGATCCTAGCCCTGATGACTGGACAAGGAGAGGGACTCAGACTCCCATGTAGAAGCAGGACCGGGCCCCTTCCCCCTCCCCGCAGATCTAAGCTCAGATGGAGCAGACACAAAGGGAGACCAAGACCCTTCTCCTGTAAGCAGAGTCCCCCCGGGCACTGACAGTATGGATAGGGAGAAGGTTTCAGATTTCCTCCAGAGCAGCAGGACCCCAGACTCTGGGCTCCCACATTACAAGGGACAGGGACATGTGATCATACAACCTCCTCCTGCCACACTTCTTGCCTCCTACCAGTATTTCACCTCTATACCCCCCTCTCATCCCTGCCTTCAGATCTGAGTCCTGACAATTCATTCCCAACTCTTCCCCCAAGGCATTCCCTCCTGCTCCCCAATCCTCCTCTATTCGCGTATTCCCCCCACCACTCTTCCCTCCAGTCTATTCCTAGCAAGTATTAGCACATGGGATTTATTTTTTCAAAAACATTACCCCAAATTATCCATTATGTTCAAATTACAGTTCCCACAAAAGAACACACCTCTTCTTGACAGAGGCAGACTATAACAACATGTCTATCATTCATTCTCAGATTTTTAACAAGCATAAGCATCAGTCTCATACTGACTGAATGTGACTCAGGTTTCATGACCATAGCATGTCCCCTTGAGTCACCTACATCACATGGAGAAACTGATTTTCAAAAAAAAAATTATAGGATTGAACAGGACCCCTTCATGTTGTCTACTCCAACCCCATGCACAGACATAAAACTTACTGCTTCTAAACCCATCCAGACAGATGCCTACCCAGTCTCTTCTCCAATGAGGGTGAGGCTGCAGCTTACCTAGATGGCTTCTTCCATTGTCCAACTGCTCTTAAAATGAGATTTTTTTAATTTGATTTGATTTAAATATGTTTTACTGTACTTTAAGCTAATATCCTGCCCACCATGGCATGGGAGAACCATTTTTCTCCATCTTCTTTAAGGCAGCCTTTCAAATATTTTAGAAACAGTTGTCATGTCCTCTACCAATCTCCTTTTTTCCAAATTATACATACCTAGTCCCTTCTACCTTTGCTCACATGGTTTGCATTCTAACCCCTTCATCATCTCTGTCACTCTCCTCTAATTTCTCTACATCAAGATGTTATCAATGCCCTTAATGAACCCTCTTGCTAGTCTTTCTGCACAGGCACAGTTACATTTTTGGGCCCATGAGCATTTAGCACATGTTAACTAACTGTACAACTCATTCTTTATTGAAATTTTCAGTATTGCTTTCCCCAAGGAGCTGTAGATGCCAGCACTAACTGAAATAATTGCTAAGCAACTGTAGACCATTGGGGAAAATCAGAACCATGGTGTGAACACCAAGTGTGTTCAAAAAAACACTTGTGGAAATTGTAAATTTTAGGAAATGCCGCTGTTTTTCCCCAGGGGCTCTCTCTCAGGAATTCCTTGATAAATTGACCATAAATATGGATCATAACCCTACCTCACATACTCATACACAGCAAATTTTACAACAACCAAAGAAAGCCGGCACATTTCAGAATACTTAGAAAAGCTGACCTTTAAACAGAAAGGGTTCCTCAACCTTAACTTTAGCAGAGCTGGCGCACATTTTGAGCCTAGATCTTCTAGCAGAAAATTGAAAATAGACTTGCATGCCTAATTACTTATTTTTAAATGTGTGACAGATATGCAACAATTTGAATATCTAGACTATAATTTACATAAATACATTTTAAAACAAAACATTTGAAATGTATTCCCTTCTTTAGTGCTTATAAACTCAAGTGCTTTCCTGGATTGGGGCCAGAATATCAGCACCTTGCAGGAGAGAGCTGAACATGCATAAATCAAACCTTCAAAGAAATGTCACATTCATAAGGAATATATTTGGGTGAACAGATTTAGAAGAATAAAATCAACAATGAAGAGAAATTAGAGTGGCTGAAAATTAATAAAGCACAGCTGGAATTATTTGATTCATCCACATTAGTTGCTTAAATGGCTCTAGGGCTTAAACTTGTGGAAGGAAGATACTTGAAGACTCAGGGGTCAATTGCTTTTGGAGACCAATTGACCTACAAGAATGCACTACTCTAAATTGGTCCTTGAAGAACAACTCTACTGCAACATATAACCAAAAAAGGGGGAAAAAAACCACAACAATTTAGACTCCCAAAAGCCGATACCAAGCCAAGTAAAATTTTACACACATGCAGACACATGCACAATCACAATATTAATAGCTTGCCAGGCTACAGATTTTTTTCCACAAAAGAAAGATTTACAGATTATTATTTTTGTCTTGAAACCAACTTTACTCTACTTTTTGTTACATGACACACACTAGAACCTATTTATTGTCAAGTTGCTGTTGTAACCTGGGCAGCACTTTGCATGATTCAGTTATGTTCGAAAGTCCAAGGACACCCAACTGCTGGCTTGGCCTTCTGGGTGTAACGTGCAGCTATGACAATCTATAATTCCATTAATTTGGAATTAAATGCAGCTGTAAATTCAAACATGAGTCATCTGTATTAGTCAAGCTGCTGCAATACATTCATCTGTAACTTCCCACAGTTTGTGTTAACACTCATTTGAAAACAAGCATGCTAAATACATTGGGTTTCTTCTAAACATCTCTTCAGTTCTTGTACACATAAACTTCTTTTTCCTGAATAGTAGCAATTATGTTCTTTACAAAATACCTTCATAAAGTAAGCGGGTACTACAATTAAATATTTTCTTTCAATAAATAATTTATTTGCATAAACTAAGAGCTCAAGATAATTTCTAACTACACCATGCTGCAAGAAATTCATAAAAGAATCCCTAAAAAAACCCTTAGATATATTACAAACTCCTGTTTGAACATATTTGCTTAGGGATACAGTGGGAATTTCATTCCTGGATGTGGACAGATGAAATATTATGCTGCTTTTAAAAGGAGGAAGTCTTACCACAGTTCAATTGAATCCATTGCAACTATTTCATGTGTCTACTGCGATCCTCTGCTAAGTGGAAGTTAAAAAGTGCATCATCTTAAAACAAATTTCAGTTATCAAAATCTATCTTCACTTACTGTGGGATTATGTAGACAGACAACACAGTTACAATGTATCAAACGATGGGCACCCAGGTTTCCTCACATCTCAAAAGTGGTACAATGTTCATCTGCCCAATGCTCCTGCCATTGTCATCCCTAGAACGTGTCACATTTTTTGGATGCACAAACTTACAATAATTTAAATTCAGTCATCTGAAAAATATAATAGCTAAGAATATTCACTTCCATGAATAGAAAATATGTAAAAATATAGAAAAAATACTAACTTTTTAAAAGGTAGAATCATTTCTAGTTTTACATTTGAAAAGTAATTTTAGAGTTCCAGAATTTTCTTTTGCTTTCCACTATTGCTACGGTTAACCAACATCCTGGCCTCATAAGTAAGGTGGCTGTTTAATAAAGAAGTAAAAACTATTATCTTAAGATGAATTTAAAAAAGAGTTAATACAGAAGTGCCAATACAGTTTCTTGTTTTCCAGTGCTATCACAGGGGTTATTTTACAATCTGATCCAATTCTTGACCTATCTCTAACAGGAAGAGCATTCCAAGATGATATCTTTCAATGAAGCTTTACACATATTAAACACAGAGGGAGTACAGTACGTTATTGCTACTACTTAATATTTTCCTATTGCATGGGAAGCTTGAAATTCAGAGAGATGGGTGATGAATTTTGATCTACAAAGATCTAGGTATCTCAGTTCTACAAATAATGCCACACTAAATTTACCTGCATAGTCCTCGGAGTGCCATCAATAGTGACAGGCAATAAGGGTGAAGCCAGGTTCCATTCACTGGTCACGTTTAGTTTCGTCCCATCAACTTCCACCTGTTGTGACACAAAACAAGACTGTTACTGTGAAGACGGACAGAAAACTGATCTCAAGTTCATTGCTGCATACAAAGCAGCGACCATTTTAAAACAGATGGCTCCCAAACAACCTGTCATGTTTACTGCTTCTGCCATAAAAGACAGGGTCCAACAAAAGAGTCTTCTAGCCATCTCTGGGGAGAGGTGAAGGACCCGTGAACAGCTGCCTCTGAGTAGCAAGGTTTCAAGTGATTTCCAGCAAGTAACAAACAGTCATCCAACTTTTAAACCTATCTGGACATGCTACATTTACTGCAATTAGACAAGTAATGCATATAAATTTCAGTGACACTTTGCAACCCACACAACAGGGCTTGCATATAATATTCTCTCCAAGGACCAAGGAAGAACTTTTCCTAGGCTTCTAATGAGGGGTTTTGCATTGTTATCTTAGTTAACATGAGGCAGTAATTAATTCTTTGATGTTGAATCTCAAAGTCCAGTCAAACTTTGCAAGTTCTGTCATGTTTTTTCTCAAACTACCACTAATCAGGGGACTGTAATTTCATGCTTACATTCCACTATGGTTATGCAGAAATGCACTCAGAAAAACTGCCATCATCTGTCTCTTTATAAGGGAATATTTCTACACAAAGGACAAACAATTTGGGTTCTGAAACAAAGTTAATAAGAGATTGAATCCTGATCGTGCTCCCCTTCCATTTATTCGAATTTCTGTTAAATATCACCACAAACTTCTGCAGATTGTACCATGCCATAAGGCGTATCAGTGAAATTAAAACAAAATGGCAGCAAAAGAATTACTATATATAATTATAGTATTATTTATTAGTATCTGTAGAGTGCTTTGAGCACCTACAAGATACCCATGGAAGAACAAAGGCAGGTAAATATGATTTCACTGGGGTTTTGTTTGTTATTTTGCATCTTCTTATACTCCTAAAATGCCTAAAATATTTTCAATCAATAATTTCAAGTTAACCAACAGCTCAAATGTTCCAGTAACCTGGAAGTAAATACCACTATAGCAAACCTGTATTCAGAATAAAAGATGCATCTTTTTTGAAAGACATAGGCAAGGGCATACCAAAAACACCATACATATATTAAAAGTTAATAACAATTTCATTTCATTTACTTGGCACTAGGCTCAGGCAATAGAAACTGTACTGCATCTTAAGAAGCTCATTATAAATAAACAGCAAAACTATCATGTAGAATTGCATTTTAGCTTGGGAAAACTTTAACTGAGAAAACTCTGACTTCAGACGTATGTTTTAGAACATAAAGGCTATCTTCAGTGGGAATGATCTACTCAATTGCTAAACAGGTTTTGTCTAAAAATAAAGTTGTGTGTGAAGACTATGAATAAAACAAGCCATTTATAATGGTTTACCAACAGGCTAGATCAGTGGGCATGTTTCAGGTGCTTTGCACTGCTCCAGTTAGGCAAAGCAGCCATAAACCTTTCTTAACTTAAAACAGATTTTACAGCTGCTTTGCATTGCCAGAGCAGTGTGAAGCAGCTGGAGCATATCAATGGATCTGGCCCAAGGTCAATACAGCTACATTGGCAAATATTATCTCTGCTTAGAACAGTACATGCATGTTTGACTGGCAATTGCATTTTGGAATGGCAGCTAATAGAAAAGCCAGTCCTTCTCTGCTGATATAATTTAAGCCCACCACTTAGAAACAATTGGCTGCATTTCCCAAGCACCCAAAACCATCTTGCAACATTTGTCAGTGAAAAACAGGTACCAGAACAGAATTGGAATACTGGTCAGCAAATAATTAAGTCTGTGCTTTAGGGCTGTACTAATACATGGACAGCCTTGTAGAAAGCAGAACTCACGACTAAAATCTGATCTTAGGGTATGAGTCTATGTCTCCACTTAGCAAACAAATTTACTGCAGTCTTTGAGCCTTCACAAGAGTTCATACAAATCTAGCCATCAGCAATTCCATGTTAAGTTAACTTTCTTAATTCTGGCAGAACCAAAAATGAGTGTGGCAATAATGCAAGTCAAGGGCCCTAGATCAGGCTTGAACAAATAGTGAAGCAGAGCTCAATAAATGCTGCAGTTTTTATTGCAGGTAGCATGAAATAAGAGAAAAAAAGCAAACAATACATTGTCTTTATCATGTATTCTCCATTCAAGTAGGCATGTTTGGCCAAACAAGGAGCTAAATGGCAGGGGGTCGGACTCAATGATCTGATTAGGTCCCTTCCGACCCTACCAACTATGAAATTATGAAACTAAAATGTGCAAGTTTTTACTAAGCTGCCAAACAATTTTATAAAGGTATCATGAGATTGCAGAGCCACTGGCCATCATCTTTGAAAACTCATGGCAATCAGGAGAGGTCCCGGTTGATTGGAAAAGGGCAAACATAGTGCCCATATTTAAGAAAGGGAAAAGAGAGGATCCAGGGAACTACAGACCAGTCAGCCTTACTTCAGTCCCTAGAACAAACATGGAGCAGATCCTCAAGGAATCCATTTCAAAACACTGGATGAAGAAGGTAATTAGGAACAGTCAGCATGGATTAACCAAAGGCAAGTCATGACTGACCAACCTAATTGCCTTCTATGATGAGATGACTGGCTTTGTGGATGTGGGAAGACCAGTGGATGTGGTATACCTTGATTTAAGCAAGGCTTTTGATACAATCTCTGACAACATTCTCGCAGGCAAGCTAAGGAAGTACAGGCTGGATGAATGAACTATAAAATGAATAGAAAATTGGCCTCAGGCTCAGAGGATAGTAATCAATGGCTGGATGTCTAGTTGGCAGCTGGTATCAAGTGGATTGCCCCAGGGGTTAGTTCTGGGGCCGGTTTTGTTCAATGTCTTCATCAATGATCTGGAAGATGGCATAGCGTGCACCCTCAACAAATCTGCAGATGACACCAAGCTGGGAAGAGGAGTAGATATACTGGAGGGTAGGGCTAGGATTGGAGGATTGGGCCAAAAGGAATCTCATGAGGTTCAACACGGACAAGTGCAAAGTCCTGCACTTAGGACAGAACAGTCCCATGCACCAGTACAGGCTGGGGGCTGATTGGGTGGGCAGCAGCTCTGCAGAAAAGGACCTCAGGGTAACAGTGGACAATAAGCTGAATATGAGCCAGCAGTGTACCTTTGTTGCCAAGAAGGCTAACGGTATACTGGGTTGCACTGGTAGGAGTGTTGCCAGCAGGTTAAGGGAAGTGATTATTCCCCTCTATTCAGCACTGGTGAGGCCACATCTGGAATACTGTGTTCAGTTTTGGGCACCCCTCTACAGAAAAGATATGGACAAATTGGAGAGAATTCAGCAGAGTGCAGTGGAAATGGTGAGGGGACTGGGTGCATGACTTCTGAGGAGAGGCTGAGGGAACTGGGCTAATTTAGTCTAGAGAACAGGAGACAGAGGGGATTTAATAGCAGCCTTCAACTACCTAAAGGGAGGTTCAAAAGAGGATGGAGCTAGAGTATTCTCAGTGGTGGCAAATGACAGAACAAGGAGTGATGGTCTCAAGTTGCAGCAAGGGAAGTTTTAGGTTAGATATTAGAAAGAATTTTCTCACCCAGAGGGTAGTAAAACACTGGAACAGGTTACCCAGAAAAATGATGGAACCTCCATCCTTGGAGGTTTTTAAGACCAGGCTACAAAAAGCCTTGGCTGGAAGGATGTAGTTGGGGATGGTCCTGGTTTGAGCAGGGAGTTGGTCTAGATGACCTCCTGAGGTCCCTTCCAACCCTAATTTTCTACGATTCTTTGATTCTATATTGGATCCCATTCAAGGTTTGCATGTGTCACGTGTACAAGAATAAAATTTCCTGATTAGCAGCATCCACTGGGGCAGGACATAAGAATGGGTTAACTATGGTCTCTCCCCAGCCATCTCAGAATTTGAAGACCTTGGTACAGAGGACTCAGAATATGGGAAGGAAGAGCTAGTCATGTAATCTATACCGACTACAAATCACAGCTACCTAAAAGTAAACAACTTCTCTTTCTTCTTTGAGCAGACAGTAGTAGGGTGAATCATACTGTAAGTGACTGCTAAGTAGTATCCCATTCAGATAGCAGGGATGAGGAGTTTCACCTGCAGCAGTTGAACTGTGATTACTGTGTTGCTGTCCTGAACTTGATCCCTGACCTAGCAAATAAGTCCAAGGCACGGTTCTTGATAAAAGTCAGCAGAGTACTCCAGGTCAGTGCTTTCCAGAACTTTCATATCTGCATATGTCTGCAACAGGATGAATAAGTCACTTAAACTGTGGTGAAGTGAGGCTTCAAAATCAGGGGCAGAGGTCATCATTCAGCTGCTAATCCATTTTGAGATTCTTGGTGAAAAGACAACTTGACATTTTGAATGCCATGTTATAATCAGAAAGAAACAGTCTGAATGGCTTGGTGCTTGTAAGAGATTAAAACAGAGTCCTGGATACATCTAGTATATGCAATTTTGTTTCCTTCCGCCACCAAGGATAGCTTGGGAAGAAGATGGGTGGGCTGATGCATGGTTCAGAGGAAATTCTAAAAGCACTTTGGGGATGAATTTTAGACGGGATCTCTGCATACTGATTATGGCTTAGGGAGATGCACAGAGCCAACGAAAGTTATGTGGGTTTTCCCTGTTGTGGCTGCTCTGTCACAGATGCAATAACCTTGTATTGAGAAGGCTTGAGATGGGCAGAATGGGAGGCTCCATGTGTTTCAAGAGTGCATTAATTATTTGGATGATGGGATCAAGTGCGTGTTTAGTAAGTAAGTGGATGACATCAAGTTGGGTGGGGTTGCAGACACTATGCGGGGCTGGGATTCAGAATTATCTGGATAAATTGGATAAATTGTTCAAAAGTCAATTAGATGTAATTCAGCAAAAGGACTGCAGTCTTGCACTTGAGACTCAATAATTGCATGCACAATCACAGACTGGGAAATGATTGGCTAGGCTGCAGTACCGGAGAGAAGACCTGGGGGTGACAGGGGATCATAAAATG